AGAAAAGAAATGATTGTGATTTCTCTCATTCTTGTTTGGTTAGTGATATAGGTTGCATCACCTCAGGATGCCGAGGTAATAGAACCTAGGGGGCAGTTGTGGGGACATAATTTTTGAATGACAACACGTGGCCGAGGTGACACCGAAGTGTCAGCCGAGGTGTCACGTGTCCTGGTCATGATGTCGAGATGATCTCGGCTAGGCCGAGGTTATCTGCGAAGATGTCGGAATCCGAGATAAGTGGATAAGGGACAAAAGTCCTAAAATGAGAGAAGATTTCAATTTGGGTAAAGATGAGACTCTTAGAGAGCTTATCCTAATTTTACTAGGAGTCCAAGATTAGCAGTAATCCTAAGTCCATTAGAGCTAGGCTCCTATTGGGACTAGGATTGTGTTGGCTATAAAAGGGAGGCGCCTCCATGGGTCTACGGTATGCTTTTGATATTCTGTCTAGTGAGTTAAGTACTATTGATTATCTTTGAGAGATATTAAGTACTGACTTGATCGTCGGAGTACCCCCGAGTGGCAAACCACCACCGGAGTCTTCTCTTTCTGTTACAAGTTAGTCAGGTGACATCTATTCTGCCGGTGCTCTCCAGCTGGATACTAAGATTGCAGTGTGGTCAGAAAATCACTCATACATGAACAGTTCAAATTATCGAATTATGCCCTGAAATGGACCCAATAAAATACACAACTGTTGCTACTGCGCAACATGCGCAACAATAACCCCAAACTCAAATAAGAGCAAAGAAAGAGGGACATAAAAAGTAGGTATTTGGCATGCACTAAAAAGTACTTTTTTCTTTTTGTGCATATATACACTTATTTGGGTCACATCAATCAATATCTGCTCTCTACTTTTTTACCAACTTTTTCTACTTTTCTACACATATTTTTTTTTATAAAAAGTAAAAAACTACACTTTTTTAAAACATCCTAAACCATTCCTATAAAATGATGTAAAAGCAGTGGTGGAGGGAGTAAGGGACCAAGGGGGTTACGTACCCCTTGGATTTTGGGTTTTTTTTTTTTAAAGAAAATATTTTAAATAAAAAAATTTATAAAAATATTATTTAGAGTGACATGTCAATGATATTTTTAAAATTATGAGAACAATAATGGTTGTTTTGATTAAAAATAAAGATACTGTGATAAGTCATATTATTATCTATAAAAATTTTAATATAATGATGATATGTATCATTATTGGCATGTAAACATAATTAATTTCAATGAAAATATGTAATTTATTGGATTGTTATTTACATTTTACATGTAGAGTTTATCCTCCATATGTTTTTTTTACTATTAGTTAGTAATATCACATGTTAATGATGACGTGGTATTACTATTAAATTGAATTTTTACTCAAATAATATCACCTCGCTTGTTTTCACTTTTCAAAAAATACTTTTCAGAAAATTTTACTTTCTTATTTTTCGTGTTTTTTTTACTGATTTTTTTAATATTTTAAGCAATTTTTTTACTTTTTAGACACACCTAACATAAATACACTTAAAAAGTAAAAAAGTTGTAAAAAAAATCTTTTAAAAATTCACTAAATACCAAAAATATAAAAAATATATAAGAATTTAGTACATTTTTTATATTTTTATGTATTTATTAATCTTTTAAAATATTTTTTCACAAATTTTTTACTTTTTAAATACATCTAAGTAAGGTGCATCTGAAAAAGTAAAAAAAATGTTTAAAATTTAAAAAATATTCACCAAAAACAAAAAAATACGAAAATCAAAAAAGTTAGTTTTCAAAAAACTTAATCCAAAAAACTCAAACCAAACACACTAGTTTTTTTTTTATTTTTTATTTTTATAAGTCAATTGTAAAAATTTATGTGAAATATTTTAGTAAAATTTTTTAATATTGTAATTGATAATGACGAAAAACTTGTTTAATATATTACTATGTGTCACTAATTTTTTATATTATAGAAATATTATATGTCATTGAATTTTTTGTTATATCACCTATTATATGAATACTCATAATTAATTTTTGTGTTTAGAAATACTTATTACACAATTAACAACAACTAATAATATATTACTATGTAAGTCAATGATTCAAAACTGTAAAAAAAAATAAGTGATATATATCACTGTCTTTGTATTATTTATTCACATCCTATCTACATCTGTTTTGTGTGTGCAACTTAATATAATTTTGTTTTTATATTTTATAAGCCATGTGATTATTTTTTAGGGGGATTTGGTGATAAACCCCTCATTGTTTAATTTGTCTTTCAAAAGGACAAGAATTATATAGGTACTTTCAAAACCCCCTAGTATTTTAAAACTTGTTTCTTTTACTATATTACCCTCATATCTATTAGCTCTCCTATTAAGCCATCTTCACAGTGTATTTTAGGGTAAAATTTTACTTTGAATCATAGTAAACTTTACTTTGATTCAGAGTAAAATTTTACTCTGAATCAGAATAAAGTTTACTATGATTCAAAGTAAAGTTTTATATTGTTAAGCAAATCAACATGTTTTTAACAAGAGTAAAATTTTACTCTGAATCAGAGTAAAACTTTACTCTGAAAGTACAATTTTACTCCGATTCAAAGTAAAATTTTATATCGTTAAGCAAATCAACATGGTTTTAACCAGAGTAAAATTTTACTTTGATCTAAGGAGAGTATCTACTTTGAATCACACTAAGTGTCATGTATTAATAACCTTGTGTGTTTGGTTGCTGAGAAAATTATAGAAACATAACAAGAAAACCAAATATAGTTTGGTTCCTCAGAAAATCAACATGTTTTTTAACCAAAATAAAAATTCAGAGTAAAGTTTTACTTTGAATCATAATAAACTTTACTCTGATTCAAAGAAAATTTTATATTTTTAAACAAATCAACATTTTTTAACCAAAGTAAAACTTTACTCTGATTAGTAAAATTTCTGTGTGAAATTCTTATTAGAGAGAGAGAAAGAGAGAGAAATTGAATAGATCATCCATTTTGATCGATCGATCATCCATTGAACAAGCTGAGTATGAACGGATCAATTCAAAAACTAGTAAAAACACAAATCTATATTACAAGGATATATAACCACAAAACACACAGATCAAAAACTAAACAAAAATATCTAAATATCAACATAATCATAATCTGATTGAGGTGACCATTTCAGAGAACACATCCAAATATCTCTCTATCTTTTGATTTCAAAGAATACATGTGTTCAACAACACTCATACACACAAATATATATATATATATACACATATATATATATTCAAAACTCAAATCTGTGTTTAAAAAAATATCGCGTAATATATATACATACACTCACTTACTGATATATATACATATACACATGTATGTATGAGTCATATATACCTACATACATGCACACACATATATATAAATACATACATACACGTATACATAGGAAGAGCAAATCAGCAGAGACGTGACGGAACTTCGCGTGTTCGCCGGAGGGAGCGGCGTAAGAGGATCAGACGCTGGCGGCGTTGGCGAGGTCGACGCAGGAGTTCCAGAGGCGGTAGTTGAGCTTCCAGATCTGAAGCTTGAAGGAGTTAGAGAACGGAGAGAGGGAGGAGAGAGACAGAGAAGGTGGGGAGAGAGTAGGTGGAGAATGTGAGAAAATTTAGTTGAGGGTATAATAGTCTAATAAAATATTTAAATAATAAATTTTGTCCTTTATGCAAAACTTTATAATTATGAAGGGGTTTAGAAAGTATAATTTTTTTCTTAATCCTTTTAACAATGAAAGGAAGGTAAAGAGGGTTTATAGCCAAATTTCCCTATTTTTTAAACCATGTGACCATCATATATAAAATCAAAGTAAAAACAAAAAATGATTAAGATTGATTAGCTCGAGCTTATATTTAAATATAGTATTTGCATTACAATGCTTTTTATTCCTACCATCAAATAAAAATTAGATAATTTAATTGTGATTTTTGTTAAGATTTCAACTCAATATAATGTCCCCTTTGAGCCAAAATTCTGGCTCCGCCACGGCTTGACCTCATGTTTGTCTTTTCTTAAGCACGACAGGCAAATTTGTTTTCTGTTCATTGACCCGTAAAATGAGATTGACGCGTAAAATGCGTTCTCTCATATGCACACACTTATTTTCCAGTATTTTTGCACTTTGGATTACTCAAAACAACAAACAGTTGACAAAAATGAAGCTCGTACTTTAAGGTCATTAGCATTATATTATTTGTCATTATTTCTTTTGCGTTTATGACCCATTAAACAAACTCAAAAGTCTTTGTTTAATAAGAGGTGAGTCATGTTGTAATTTTTTATTTATCCACGGATAAAAGATATCATTCGAAGTCATCATCCACAATAAATTATAACAAGTTGTTCACTTGAAAAGTCAACAGCCAATGTGAGGATAAAAGATATCATTCGAAGTCATCATCCACAATAAATTATAACAAGTTGTTCACTTGAAAATCATCAGCCAATGTGAAGTTGAGACGACGAACATATGTTGAAGATTAGGTAAGGATTTAATGGCAGTTTCTTGTATAAGCCATCTAATCTGTGTCTCATTCTGTATGTTTGGTTCTGTGTTCCTAGCATTGCTAGAAGCTTTTAGTTTTTATTTTCACTATTTTGTTTTAAAGGGAAGGGCCTATATTGAACTATATCATTATGTATAAACTTTTTATTTGTATACAAAACACTAAGAAAAATCAACTCTCTAGAAATTATGTATAAACTTTTTATTGGTATTGTGGTTTATCTCGACATATCATGTGCTGAATTGTCATAAGATCTGGTACACCCCTTCCACCCGCAACACTGTCTCAAACTCCACGCCGAGTTTCCCCCTAATGATGATGCATGTCGTCCATCGTGCAATGCCTGTGGGGAACTCTGTATGGGCTTTACCTTCTATTGTTCCGAGTCTTCCTGTGGGTTTGCCATGGACATTAATTGTGTTACGCTGAAATTGCTTCCCCAGACCGCCAATGTTCGTGATACTCAGATCAGCACATACGCCACCAACATCACTTGATTCTCTGTGATAATGAGAAGAATAGTGAACTTTTCTTCTCTTGCTGCGGCCGAAGAGATAAAAAAGGATCAGCTTATGTTTGCCTTCAATGACCCTGTTTGCTACACATATCATGCAGCGAGTTGGGAAAGGAGATCGAACACCCTTTCCACCCTCGGCATCTTCTCACCCTCATCCCGACTTCGTCTGCAAACAACGAGATTAGAAGGGTGTTCTTTTGCAATGCCTGTGGGTCAAGATGTAGCCCCATTACCTTTTTCTGTTCAGAGTGTGACTTTGTATTGGACGTTTATTGTGCTTCGTTGATGTTGATGCCCGCCAAAAGCATCAACGAAGGAGAGGGTGGTCATTGTCATCAGCCCAATACAATTCAACATTTTACTCACCCCCATCCCTTAATTGTTTGTGGCTTTGACAAGAAAACAAATTTTCCCCTTACCTGCTATGCATGCGATTTACCCTTCGAGGATGACTCCTTTTTCCATGTTTGCCTTGAATGTGGTCTTTTGCTACATGATTCATGTCCCGACTTGCCCCAAGTGATCAACCACCCCTTTCATCCCCCACACCAGCTCACCCTGCGATCACCTTTTGATTCTGGTCCTCCACACCATGTCAACCTACGCTCACCTTTTGATTTTGGTCCCTTTACGGAAAGTTGTTGTCGTGTGTGTTTGAAGCCTCCAACACGATGGAAATACGGTTGTGACAAGAATGATTTGACAATTGACAGTAGATGTGCTTTGCTGCCTTACGTTAGGGACACTAGAATTCATCACCATCCTCTTGCTTACTTCACCAATTCCACCACCGGACCTAGTAACTTTTGTTGCCATGCTTGTTTTAAGATCCAATGCACCCCGTTCCTTCGTTGTGTGGAGTATCACTGCTATTTTGAGGTTCACATCAGTTGTATCCCAAAGTTGCCACCTACCCTTAAACATAAATATCACAGACATGCCCTCACCCTTACCAATTCTCCCATCAAAGACCATCCAGACGAAGATGAGGACGCAGTATTCTACTGCGACACTTGCGAGGAAAGAAGGGTCCTTGCTGACCGAAGTTACTACTGTGTCGAATGCCACTATGTTGCCCATGTTGGTTGCGTCATGTCTGAGGTAAGTTCATAAATCAGCTTTGCAAGTCATGGTCATTAGAAGAAAAACAAATGAAACAAAAAATTAGGTTCATCTTTCAACTGTGTTATGAGTCTTGAATAATCTCTTCAAATATTATGAAAGTAAGATTCCATACATGTTCTTCTATCCAGACTCCACTTAAGCAAAACCTTGAAAGATTCCATACATGTTCTTCTATCCAGACTCCACTTAAGCAAAACCTTGAAGCACCAAGTTTAATTTTTAAACCAAAATTGCTAAGTGCACATAAATAAAACATAAAAGTGCACAGAAAGTGTTCAAGTGGCTGAAATTTTTTGGGTATATAGGGTGTGAGACACATTTAAAATAAATTTCGACTACACGAAGGATTCTTTGTGTCTTAATCTGTGCACTTAACATTTTTGCTTTTAGATTTTTTCAGATCTTTTCACTTTTCGTACATAGCTGAAAAAATCTCCCCCTTTAATTGCTTCCATTCTACTCAATCATCATATGGATAAGACAATTTTTGTCAGTTGTACCCTCCTGAAACACATGAAACAGAAGGGGTGTCCACTGGATTAGAGTATCATAGATTTTATTTGATTACACAAATTGTAGCTCATCCTTCATCCAATAATTTGAATTTGGCTATTGAAAATCAAGTGCATACACCATGGTATTGATCAGGCCTTGTTAGATCCACTGAACTTTCTGGAAAAAGTTGGTGCTCTAGATTAGAAATGAATAAATGATTAATCAAAAATATAAAAGGAGAACACAATTTATGATTTGATTTAATTTGTTTCTTTTACTTTTGCAATTAAGGGAGTCATTTGTTTAGTGGTCAAAATTCAGTTATTAATCATGAGATTGTGGGTTTGAATTTGAGGGCATGTACTTCATGCATATTATGTCAAATGTTCTGCATGCACCCAATCTATCATTCCATCCAATGCAGACTAAACTAGATGTAATTTTGATTTTACTTCTACATCTCTTACATGGTGCTTTATTACTATAAGTATTATTTCACACAGTTTTTTTTGTTGCTTTTTAGTTTCTGAGTTTAGTAGGGGTAAAGTACAACATCTTAGCTGGAATGCCTGAGGACCCAAAGTTGGAAACATCTACTGTTATGGTTAAAGGAAACACTGATAAAGTGGTCGGCAGCAGAAGTTTGATGATAGAAGAGATAGAGCAGGAGAGAGCAAAGCTGGAAATTAATGCAGAGGCAAATGAAATTGCTTCATTTGTTACAAAATTAATTCTGGGTACTCCCACAGGCAATGAAAAAGCTACAAGAGAATTTTCTACAGTCAGTTCTAGTGAGGAGGACACCCAGAATAGAGAAGCTACCATGAGCTCTGCCCTCAATGAACTGGATGAAGAGATCGCAGTGTTTTGTGCAGACTTAATGGAGCCAACAGCCAAATAAGAGGCAATTAGAAAGGATTTAATGGTGCAAACATCGATACAGTTAGGATCAAGTTACATGGGACTAATTTAATTGTTTTCCAAAAATTTTACATTTAAATTACTAGTATTGAAATTTTCGTTGGGCCTTTCTTTCAATTTCCTTAATTATATGACGTATGAACTTGGTAATTATTTTCATAATGTTTGTTTTCATAGTTTTTATTCTTGTCTTGCAATATTTTGTTTAATATTTTCTATCAATGAAAAGGAATGCAGTTTCGATGAAGACGACATGATGCCAAATAGTTTTGAAAGACATTGGAGTGAAAATTGGCAAGAGTAAACCTATAATTTCAGTCCATTGTTGCCCTCTAGGCACCAAAAAGATAAATAAAAGAGATGAAAATTGAAATTTAGTTGCTGATTTTTTGTGCAGAGTGAATGAAATTTCACTACTAATAACAGAGACAAGACAGATTCACATATGTATTACACGTCATTCTTGTGAAAAATTCTCTATAAATATTTCATCTTTATTTAGTTGTCATACCACTGCCAAGTTGCACTTGGCATAGCATTCTTTAGAGTTCAATTATTTTTATGCTAGGAACAGATCCTGTTTGATAAAATTATGTATACTATGTCAGCTGTGGATCACAAATATACAACAAATAAAAAAGTGAAGCATCCTCTCGCCATGGGAACAACTGGGTGTTGGTTATTCTGCCATAAAGCTCTATGATCGTTTTAGCTTAATCCTGAGCTCTGGTATTCACATGTAGGCTCTATGATCATTTTAGCTTAATTGATCAAACGATTTGCAGATGGAGCTTGCACAGGATACTAACACAGATTGAACCCTCAACGAGTAGGTTGCTGGCAGAGCAACATACATTAAAATTGTTCCCAGTATTATTAGAATGAGTTGTTATTGTTCATTGCTTTCCATGTTAACCAAACAAAGAACTATAACTCCCTTTGCATTTGCTTTTCTTTATTTTTCGTTTGCCCATTTACAAATCTATGAATTAAACAGTGCATAATTGGTTTGCTTTATTCCAAAATCATGTTCTCAACTCATCGTGAATTGTTGCACTTTTCTCTCTAAAAGCTTAAACTTTTACGGAGGGGTGTACTTGCAAACTTCAACATACGGAAGTGCCTTTCAACTTTATTCTTTGTCAGGTTTAGTCTTGCCCATTATTGCCTCTTCCTCTATATGGAACATTTTGAGTTTCATTTCTAGTGCCCGTGTCTCCTTTCACAGATCTGTAATTTCGTCCTCTAGTTCAATAAGCAAAGATGGTTCAGTTACTCTTGCCCAAATATTTTTTTCTTGCCACCATGGAAGAATCCCTTCATTGCATAACTTCATTGTCTACTGCAACACCTAAAAGATTCATCCCAGTTAAAGCATTCTTCTTCGTTGCCCGTCCATTTATAAGATATATATTATATATTATATTAGTTAGTTATACAATAGACTAGAATTTCATTCACGATTGTCTTGTTGTTTCTGTTTTTACTAATGTCTTTGATGAGCTTGAAGGAGCATTGGTTTGGTCTCCTTTCCTCCTGAGCTGCTAGTATTTTGTTAATTTTTCTTCGGTTTATGTTCATGTTTTGTTTGATGCATTTAATCTACTTTTCTTCAATAGATGATTGTATATCTATGTCTAAACATGAGTCTTATCTTTGTTCTGAACATTCTCTTATTTCAATGAAATTTGCAAATAAATAAGAAGGATACCAATTCTTTTTCTAGGATGAAATTCAAACATTTGTTGAAATATCAAAGGTTAAACATTTGTTAAAGGCCCAATTCATTTACACATTATATTTTTCAAAGGATGAAATTTAAAATTTGTTTACTAGCCCTATAAAAAAATTAATACTTACTTTATATCGAGATAAATGGGTGGACTTGGATTTAGAAGTTCTTTAGGACTGAATTTTCAATGACTAGATTAGGCTTGATGTTAGTCTGGCCGGGCTTAAAATAACAAGCCTAACCCAACCTAATCGATATCCACTTCTAATTCCAAGAACTCAGATCCTCCATGTGATCTATCTCCAGTACAGTCCAAAAAAATTTTAGACATGGAACCAATTACCTCCCTTTAAAATTCCTAACAATAACTCTTTTCTGAACTAGATTGGGAAATTTGCTGGTTGATAGATTGAAACTCTCTTAAATAATTAGCATCAAATACTGTTGTTTGAAAAGATGATTTCAAATGGCCTCGAAAGCTTGCATAGTTCCTGTTTGACCGAACTGCCCAAGCGACTACAAAAAACAACACAAACATCGAATTAAAGGTAGTTCTCTAGAGTTAGCTATTTAGACTAAATAGCAACACTTGTTCTAGAAAAGGTTGTTGAGATGAACATAGATAGTCTTTCCATTTTATCATTACGAGCAAGTCATGTTAAATCTAAAAATGTGTACGGTACATACAAAATCAATGGTTAGGATTGAGCCACATCATTAAAAGTGACCTGCTAAACAGGTCACTTTTAATAGTTATGAGCTAAAATCATATTTCTTCATAACTATAATCAAATTGATCATAACTTAGCTATAACTACATCTCATAACCAACACCATTTTGTTCATAACTAATATCACATATTTCATAACCACATCTGATAACCAATACCATTTTGTTCATAACTAATATCACATATTTCATAATCATAATCACATATCTCATAACCAACACCACTTTGATCATAACAAATATCACATATCTCATAACTATTGATCACATACCTCATAACCACATCTCATAACCAATTCCTTTGAGTCATAACCAACATCATATATCTCATAACCACTAGTTACATATCTCGTAACCAACACCTTTTTGTCATAACCAATATCACATATTTCATAACCACTAATCACATATCTTATAATTAATACCTTTTTGCTCATAACCACATCCCTCCCTTTGATCATAACCGACATCACATATCTCATAACTACTAGTCACATATCTAATAACCAACATCACATATCTCACAACCACTAGTCACATAACCAATATCTCATAACTCATAACCATTAATACATATAGCATAACCACACCCTCTGACACCACTTTGCTCATAACCATTACCCACATATCTCATAACAACTAACACATATAGCATAACCAAATACCCTTTGACACCACTTTACTCATAACCATTACCCACATATCTCATAACTACTAACACATATAGCATAACCAAATACCCTTTGACACCATTTTGCTCATAACCATTACTCACATATCTCATAACCATTCATAACTATTATCCACATATCTCATAACCACTAACACATGTAGCATAACCAAATATCCTTTGACACCACTTTGCTTATAACCATTACCCACATATCTCATAACCACTCATAACCATTACTCACATATCTCATAACCACTAACAAATATAGTATAACCAAACACCCTTTGACACCACTTTACTCATAACCATTACCCACATATCTCATAACCACTACACATATAGCATAACCAAATACCATTTGACACCACTTTGCTCATAACCATTACCCACATATCTCATAACCACTACACATATAGCATAACCAAATACCATTTGACACCACTTTGCTCATAACCATTACCCACATATCTCATAACCACTACACATATAGCATAACCAAATACCATTTGACACCACTTTGCTCATAACCATTACCCACATATCTCATAACCACTACACATATAGCATAACCAAATACCATTTGACACCACTTTGCTCATAACCATTACCCACATATCTCATAACCACTACACATATAGCATAACCAAATACCATTTGACACCACTTTGCTCATAACCATTACCCACATATCTCATAACCACTACACATATAGCATAACCAAATACCATTTGACACCACTTTGCTCATAACCATTACCCACATATCTCATAACCACTACACATATAGCATAACCAAATACCATTTGACACCACTTTGCTCATAACCATTACCCACATATCTCATAACCACTACACATATAGCATAACCAAATACCATTTGACACCACTTTGCTCATAACCATTACCCACATATCTCATAACCACTACACATATAGCATAACCAAATACCATTTGACACCACTTTGCTCATAACCATTACCCACATATCTCATAACCACTACACATATAGCATAACCAAATACCATTTGACACCACTTTGCTCATAACCATTACCCACATATCTCATAACCACTAAAACATATAGCATAACCAAACACCCTTTGACACCACTTTACTCATAACCATTACCCACATATCTCATAACCAACATCACATATCTCACAACCACTAGTCACATAACCAATATCTCATAACTCATAACCATTAATACATATAGCATAACCACACCCTTTGACACCACTTTGCCCATAACCGAAATCACATATCTTATAATCACTAATCAAATATCTCATAACCATTACCCACATATCTCATAACCAACATCACATATCTCACAACTACTAATCACATATCTCATAACACCCTTTGGCTCATAGTCACA